GTTCGAACCTGGCCAGGGCCTGCCAAACAACAATGACAACTGCAACAAAAAATAGCCGGGTGTTATGGCAGGCGCCTGTAGTCCCAGCTACTTGGGAGGCTGAGGCAAGAGAATCGCTTAAGCCCAAGAGTTGGAGGTTGCTGTGAGCTGTGAGGCTACGACACTCTACCCAGGGTGACATAGTGAGAGACTCTGTCTCAAAAAAAAAAAAAAAAAAAAAGAAAGAAAGAAAGAAAGAAAAGAAAAGAAAAAAAGAAAAAGAAATGTGTGGTTTAGGTGGAAAAATGGGACCCTGGAGGTATGGAAATGGTGGTGAAGAAGTGCAGGAACAGCCAAAGGCATTTCTCCAGATTATGAATCCTGGGGAGGAACAGATGACTGAATTCAGGTCCCATGGCTGAGGTGAGAGGAGCCATTCCTTGGTCTGCTCCATAAGACCTTTTATATTAGTCAGGGTTCTCCAGAGAAACAGAACCAATAGGATGTATGTTTAGAAAAAGATTTAAGGAGGTGGCTCCTGCAATTGTGAGGGCTTGGTAAGTCCAAAACCAGGAAGGTAAGCCAAAAGGATGGAGACCCAAGAAAGGGTTAGAGTTCATTATTTCTCGGTGGAACTCAGTCTTTGTTCTATTAAGGACTTCAACTGATAGAATAAGGCCCACCACCTTATGGGGGGTGGGGTAATCAGTTTTAGTCCATTCATTTAAACGTTAACCTTCTTTAAAAAAAAAAAAAAACTTTCACAGAAACATTCAGAATGATGTATGACCCAATAGCTGAGTACTGTGGCCCACCCAACTTGACACATAAAAGTAACTATCACATTTGGTTCCACCAAAGTTCTGTCTCTACCAGTTTTTTTGTTCTTGCCAACAGTCTACTATTCTTCCCCCAAATTCTTTGTCTTTCCTATTATTCTTCCCTTTCCCACGATTTTCCATTATCTCCTACAATTCCCTCTCTTCCAGCAAAATCTTTTCTATCTCACCATTCATTCTCTCCCATAATTCTTCATTTAACCACCAAAATTCCCTGTTCTCTCCCATAGTTCCTCATTCTCTCTTCAATCCTCCTTCCGCACACACAATTGTAAATTCTCCCAACAATTGTTTTTGTTTTTTTTGTTTTTTTGAGACAGAGCCTCAAGCTGTCCCCCTGGGTAGAGTGCTATGGCATCACAGCTCACAGCAACCTCCAACTCCT